TGAGTGTTTTATCCTGCAGTCCTTAATAATTTCTGCTTGTCCCAGTCGTCTCCGCCTTTGCAAGGGAAAAGGAAGGAAAAAATATCTTCTCCCCTTGTTTAGAACAGAGACCTCACTTTTGGAAAAGTTCCCCTTCTGGGGTGGTTAGTAAATGAAAGAACCTACAGTTGTTTCCAAACCTAATTCTACGCGTCTATTTCGGGCAGAACGTTTAACCATCGGTTATCAAGCTCCTTCTTGAATGCATCTACACTCCAGTGGTAACTTATTCCACGAGTTTAGTACCTTGTTGCTGAAGAAAATCGAGCGCACCATTGGTCTCATGCGCACTTTTTTCAGCTTATACATGTGCTCCCTATAGTGTTGCTTTGCAGCCTGTCGAAGAACATTGCTTGATCTGTTCCTGATAGGCCATTCGTAATTTTGAATGTTTATCAATTCACCTCGGAATCTTCTTCTTTCCAAGGAGAAGAGTTCAAGCAGAGCTAATTCTATATTAAAAAACTTATATTTGTATTCAGAGGTAAATTATTTACAAGAATGAAGACTCAGACGACTAAATACACATTGATTTTGATCACTTACTGGAATTTGTAAACACATTGTCCGAAGAACAGAGACAAACTTGATGTTGGAAGACAACCATGAACTGAAAAGTGGATTGATATCATCATCATCATCATCATCATCATCATCATCCTCATCATTTTGGTTTTTCCATGTCATCTATTCTTTTTCATTGGTTGTATCCATAAATAGATGTGATATATGTCTATTCGCACAACCGTGTTATTGTTCACACAACCAAAGTATGCAGCTAAATTTCTCATTTCTCTTTCTTTTCTCCACACATTTTGTTTTGTTTTTTCTTTTAGCTGAAACTGTTCCTCGTTATACTAGTCCTTGTTCAATGATTGTGAATTTGGACTCGAACATGCATTCGTCGGTCAAATGTCTAACCAATGGTCATTTGCAAGACATTCTCAATGGTTATCATTCGCAGAAACATTATCGTCCCGAGGGGGAAATCTCAATGCCACCACCCACAACCGGTTCCACGACCCTGATCGCGATCACAGCCGGTGGTGATAATGATGACATTTCCTTGTGTATGAGCACATCGGCTAATAATCATCATCCCGGACTGACTTCGAACCCGATCATCTCATCATCTTATTTCACGCCAGTACCGACAGATAATTTCCCTGAACTGGTCAGTACCGCCGTACACGGCAATCATTCTCACAAATCATCTTCCTCGTCTAATCCACATCAACATCATAGCCTGTTGCATTTATTACCTATTCATCCGGATTCTCCCACACTCTCCAATCCGAAATCCGAAAGTAGTGCCAACTTGTCACATGATCCACACCATGACCATCATTGTCTGACAATTTCATCAGCCACGCAATCAACAACTCAATTGGTTACGTCACATGTGGTTCACATGTATCCTTCTCAATCGGAGATACCATCCTCTCTGACTTTGACTGATCAATTACATGATCAAAACGATCGGTCAGTAATGGACTACGATCGATCCAGATCGGCGCCGTCCGAGCAATACTTTCTTTTAGACATGCCAGTTTGTAAACTAACCGGTACAGACCGACATACCCTAGCCGAATCCGGGCAACAGCATCCGACAATTCACACACATCCCAATCCGCATAATCATCATCATCATCATCATCATCCTCATCAACATCACCATCAACATCATCATCCGGAACAAGCCTCTGATTGTATGAATCAGACCTCAAACAATCCGTTCGTTTCGTCTGTTGGTTTGGAACCGGACGAGTTCAATTGGGATACGATTGTTTGAAATTGACCGGATCCACGTCCATGAATCCCGTCGAATACTACTGACTGGTTAGTGCCCCGGGAGGGCGGATGTGAAAAAGTTACATATCAAACCCAACCTTAATGTTCTCAACTCCTTGCGTATTTAGTAGATCATGCATAAGTGAATCGACGACAACCATTTTCACCAACCACAAAAACTACTTTAGCCGGATAGATTGTTTGTTTTGTTTTTTTTCTTTCGTTCTTGTTTTGTTCTCGAACTTGGAAATCATCGTTAGCGCAGTACTGGTCGGCAGATTCTTTTCGGCAATTACTCACAGTTCACAGTGTGTTTTTTCTCTCTCTCCATCGACTCAACACCCAAACCTCCAAATCCAAACTGAAACAAAAACAGAATGGGTGTGTGAAGTGAATCTGATTGGAAAATGGTTGGAGCATACGCATCATCTATGCACACACACACACACACACATATCCGCAACTTTGGTTGTCAATCCGTGTAACCATTCATATCGGCAAAATTATCAAGGCTCGTGCGACACATACACATGCACATATATCCTTGTGTGCTGTGAAGTTTTTTTCTTTTTACTGCTCATCCTCTTTTGACTTATTCTATATTTATGCATTCCGCTAGTCTGACGAATTATCCGGGACACAAATCACCCAATCCGCTGCCCTCCTGATGTTTGACTTCATTTCATCTCCTGCTCACTCACTCACTCACGCACACACGATTACTATAAAAACGTTTATTCGTGAGCTCTGTCTCTTCTCAAAATCACAATCCTCCTGGTCAGTTGTGACTAGTTTCGCCATTTGAATTGTTTTGTTATTCATCTATCTATCATTTGTATTCTTCCGTGGCTCAGATTCCACATTTTGTTTTTCCCGGGATGGTTAGTGGTCACTCATACGCCCCCGAGGACTAACTAATTCACTAATCAATCATACTTGTTGTTCACAACTAACGCACATTCATCAATCGGTTTCACATGGGAAAAGCGAGAGCAGAACGATCGATAAAATCGATCGATACACTGGGGAGTTTCACTTCTCCGTTAAAAAGAAGAAAGAAAAAAACAAACAAACAATGAGGGCCACGCCTTCCTCATGGCCTTGTCCCTATTCCCCGCCCGCTCTCTCTCTCTCTCTCTTTGTTTTGTGTGAACAGTTAGGGTCATCAGCAGCCATCAGAGAATAAATACATTCACATCATGTTGCCTTTCGATTGCTATACCATACATAGATGCAACACATTCAAATAACCCCACACCCTCCCTATCCGATTTCAACTTTTACAGTGCCGTTCACTCTGCCTCTCTCAGTCTGACGTACACAAAATGCAGTCGACCTATTACCTGCATATTGGCCTTATAACATTGGTAACTTTTTTTCTTTTCTGACCAACAACCCCTTACCGATTCGTGTGTGTGTGTGTGTGTGTGTC